TCTAAGTAGAAAAAAAAAAATTAGCCTATGGAGCATAGAAATCAGTCTACTGCCAGAACACTGAGTTGTGTTTTTCCTGCCTCTCATTTTCATTTTAACTAATATTCCCTAACATGTTCAACAAAGAAATATAAAATAGAAATGGGCATTACAGGTCTCTGATTTGTCATTCACAGAATAGCCAAAGGAACTGACCTGGTACAGAGGTATCACCTGGGTGCGGTGTTCACACATGGCATAGGCATGGCAGATGTCTGTAGGGAAATAGGGATGTACCAGAACACAAGAGTGAGAAGAGCAAAGAAGAGGGAGAAAATGGTGGACATCAACAGAGAGTACCATTCACTGACCACTCCGCTCAGAAAGCACTGGCTCTCGGGCTTTGCTAGAGAACAGATGTCCTTCCCTCTCACAGGCAGCCAGCCACATCCACTAATGTTTACTGCTCATCTGCTGTGGGCAGGACACAGAGCTGGGCCCTGAGCCCACAGAGAAAAGTCAGGCCTATCTACATACACACACACACACACACATACACACACACCAATAAGAGCATATATTGGCATTTTTGTGTTGCTAAAACCAAATACCTGAGAAAAAAACTTAAGGGAGGAAGGATGCAGATCAAGCTCCTACTTTAAGGGGTTTCTGTCCACTGTGTCAAGGAGCACAGCAGAGCAGCTTCTACCATGTCTTAAAGGAAGCAGAGAGAGGATGGCTGTGCTCCTGGGATCTCTCCTTTATCCCTTTGTTCCATTAGGCCTGTCCTATTAGACACATGCAGAGGAAGTCCTCCAGCTGACTTGGTTAATCTCTCTGGAAACACCATCACAGACACAAGTAGAAGTGTGTTTACTAATGTCCTAAGCACATCCAGATTCAATCAAGCTGACATACAATAAGGACTAACCATCACCGAACTTTTAGACAGGCACATAGCAAGTACTGAGAGGTCACAAGAGAAAGCAATCCCTTCTGCCTGGAGATTTGGAGCAGGCCTCACACAGTAGATTTTATCCAGTCCCTGAAGGATGCTGTGTTGTCCCAAATGGCAGAGGAAAAAGCATGATGAAGCTGAGCAACAGCAGGAGATGAAGCTTGAGGGGAGCTGAGGGGAGGGCTGAGAATGGCTGGACAACTGGCTGAGCAGTTAGGCAGGATGCTGCAGCCAGAGGGCCCCAGTGGCTTTTAAACTGGAGGACTGGCAGGATTGAGTGTGGGCCATGGAGGGGCCAGCAGCATGGTGCTTATATCTCACATCTGACCCCGGGACATACCCTAAGCAGAAGAGTCTCCTCTCTAGTGTTACTGGTGGTTGAGGTCCGGCCCAGGTATTTCTAGGTTCTTAGGATCTTACTCAAGAATGAAATAAAGACACACCTGGATTGCAAAAGTAGCAAAGTAGCTTTATTCAATGCAATCATGTAGGTCAGATATGCTGCCAAGAGTGAAAGCAGGCCACATGGGTGAAAGAGAACTCAAGGACCAGGAGTTATCGCCTGAGGCTTCTTTTATGGTGTCTAAGGGAAGGAAGAGGAGTTTGGTTATTAGGGGTCTTGCTACAGTGGTTCTTTATTTTAATTGACTGATTTAAGTCACATAACCTTTTCTTTACTATGCATATTCCTTCCAGAACGCATATGACTAAAATAATGCATCTGCTTTTAATCATATGCATACTCAATTATGCATAGGCACAGGGATGGTGATATATGGAGGAGTCTTCCTAAAAGTGTGCCTTACTATGCATGTTCACCCAAAACCTGTTCAAGCCAAATCTGCCCCTACTCTTGTGTCCAGACATAACTTGAGTACAGTTAAATAGAATCTGTCTGTGATGGTGGTTAAGGGAAAAAGAAACTTACCTCATTGTTTAGAGTGGGTGTGCATGCAGCCCGATACAGGTTGCAGGGGCAGGGGGTGGTCCTAGGTTGCTAGGTTCAAAGATGGATGTGGATGCATAGACCATGCAGGTGAGGTCTCAGACTGCCAAGCACATAGCCCAAACCAAGTAAAGTCCAGATTAAATTTTTCCCTATGCACGCCCGACTCCCCAGGGCAGCTCTGGACACTATGAGCACCATTGTCTGTTCTATATCAGTGACTTTATCCCAAGTGCAACAGCATGCCATGCTTACAGAGTCTGTTGGGGGTCAGACAGGGCACAGGGAGGTGACTTGTCCAGGCTCCCATCCCAGAAGACCCAAAGCCTGAGTGACCATGGTGGGAAGCTGGAGTCATCTAGGGTCTGTCTGGTTGGGGGTGGCACAAAGTCTAGGAGGGCTGCAGGGAGCTCTCAGGGGTGAACTCAGAAGAGAAGGTCAATGCAGGTCACGGGGCCATCAGTAGGGAAAGACCCAGAAGCTCAGTGACTTCCTTAACTCATGGCTGGCAGAGGTCATCTATCAAACAATTCTTTGTTGCTGTATTTGCCTGTTTGGTTTTATCTCTTACTGCACGATCAAGGAATGATTCGCCAAGCGAAGTTCTCCAAGTTGTGTCCTGTTGATCCCTTCTCAGCCTCTGAGCCATCCACATGCCCCCAACTCAACAGTACACAGCTGCTTGGAGTTGCCCACAGACACTCTTTTCTGTCTCCCTTCTTAACTTTCCATGGATCATTCCCACTGTCTGCAACGTTCTGAGTGCCTAGCAACATCCTATTTCCCTTTCAAGAGTCAACTCTATGCCACAAGTGACAGAGCACCCCTACAACCCCAGCAGCAGGAGGGTCAGGAGTTCCAAGTCCGACTGGAAATCTTGGCGGGGTCCATAGGCGCAGTGGTGTGCTCCCTCTTCTCCCCTCACACAGGGAACTGTTGTGTTCTGTATGAGTTGCCACAACTACTCTTCACATCTGCTCTTCTAGACTGCAAAGTCCCAAAATTCTAAAAGGGTGAAGAATTCACTACTTTCCTCCTTACCTCTCAAACATCCTAGTTCACAGCGGATGTTTAGGCCAGTCGTAAGTTTTAAGATAACCCTTCACATTTTACAGCATTTTCCCAGCATTTTCCAGAAAGTCTGTTTAGCATCTGTCATCTTCCACAAACAACTATCCTAAAGGTGATCTTCCCCATTTCAATGTGAGAAAACACAAGTTCAGACATGTGACAGGATTTGCCCAAACTCACTGAACTAAGATTTGTTCCTTGTTCGCCTGGCCTGCTCCAAGTTCTGGGACTGGTAGGGCAGTGTCACTGAGCACCCATCTCAAGTTCAAAGGTTTACTTTGGGCATGATCTCCATTTAGTGTCCAGGACCACACCATAGCCTGAGGAACACTTGGAGAAGGGGGCAAGGGACACTGAGGGAGGACTCCCAGGAGGCAAGGAGAGGGAGCACCTGGAAAGGTTACTAGGGATGACCTTTACAGCCTGACTCAAGTTCAAATTGAGGTCAAGTCAGCAAGTTAAGACTACAACCAGGACCATGGAGAGAAGGGAAGCAGTGTAAGCTTGAACTATTTCTTCTACAACTGGGTCCCTAGCATAGATTTGCAAAGCCAACATGTATCCTATTGAAGACATCATAAAATCAGAGCTATCAGAATCCAAGTTGGTGAGATCTAATAGGTCTTTATGAACTGCCTTAATTTTCAGTGTAATTAATCTATTTTTGCACAGAAAATACATTTACAGAATCTGAAATTCCAAAAGCACACACAAAAAAACCCACTTCTAATGTAGATATAGAAGGAAATCCAAAGTGTATATCAATAAGTGGAAACAAAACAAAACTAAATCAAGGGCCAGTGAGATGGTATGGTAGGCAAAGCCTGATGACCTGAGTTCAAACCCCTGGTGTCCCACATGGGTCCTCCTGCAAATTTTCCTCTAACCTCCACACATGTGCTGGGGTGAATTCAGATGCACACGCATGTGCACACACACATACACACACACACACATACATATACATAATAAATGTAAAAAGAAAAAAAGCACATCAAGATATAGAATGGTATATAACTTATATGCCCTTTACTTTTAAGTGGGAGGGAAGTGTGTGTGTGTGTGTGTGTGTGTGTGTGTGTGTGTGTGTGTTTCTTGTATATTCATAATGTAGGAACACAGCAGGAGTACAATTTTTCCTGTTCTTCATTGGTGGGAGGTTCCTGTGGGGATGATGAAAACATTGGAACTAGATGGAAGCTGAAGTGAGACAGCATTGTAAACAGACCACTGAATTACACACACTAAAGTGGTCAGTATCTGTTACATTTCATGAACAAAGGGAAAAAATGAAAATGGAATCCCTGGCCCTGACCTTCCCAGCTCAGTCCATACACAGGATGCAGATGGTATGCCTCCCAGTGGCTCACCGGCAAGGGAGGATCACAATCTTGGTTAATAGCAGCACACGCCAGCAATGGGCTTGGTACATTGTGTCCTGTGTCTTTCCACATAGCCCCATCCAAACCAGCAAAGATGAAGAAACGGGTTTAGAGAGTGTCAGCAGCTTGCTCAGTGCTGGGGTTCCCCAGGTAGAAAGCAGCAGAGGACACCCTCAGAGCCAGGCTCTCTCCATTCAGCTACCCAATGTGTCCCCCTCGGCAGGAGTCAGGGGACAACAGGACCTTGCCACCCCCAAAGACCATGCTGATGACTCAGTAACCTGGAGTTCCTGGGCCTCTAGGAAACACCAGACTCTTTGGAAACCTTCTAGATCCACTGACAGCAGTGAAGTTCTAGTGAAGTCCAGCTTGCCCAGTCTTGCTCTCCTACTTAACAAAATGAATGAGTTCATGGCACTCTGTAACTGCTGCACAAATTATGTGGATTCAGTAGGTCACCACAAATGAAATAAGAATTCATAGCATTCTGGCAGAGGCCTTGTGAATTCAAATTATGATGTATGGATAAAATAATCTCACCTTATTCCTGTGGTGGGAATATGTTTGCTGCTACTCAGATGTACTTACATATCCTGGGCCTGAGTCTCTTGCTTATGTTCACAACCTTTTTTCTCATCCATAAAATGGGTTTGCGGTCTAGATCTCTCGCATCTGCTCCTCTACCGGTCCACACCCGCCACCCAGTTCGCCATGGATGACGATATCGCTGCTCTCGTGGTCGACAATGGCTCCGGCATGTGCAAAGCCGGCTTCGCAGGCGACGATGCTCCACGTGCCGTCTTCCCATCCATCGTGGGCCGCCCGCGGCACCAGGGCGTTATGGTGGGCATGGGCCAGAAGGACTCCTACGTGGGCGATGAGGCCCAGAGCAAGAGAGGCATCCTGACCCTGAAGTACCCCATCGAGCACGGCATTGTCACCAACTGGGACGACATGGAGAAGATCTGGCACCACACTTTCTACAACGATCTGCGTGTGGCCCCCGAGGAGCACCCGGTGCTGCTCACCGAGGCCCCCCTGAACCCCAAGGCTAACAGAGAGAAGATGACGCAGGTACGGTTCCGCCTGGGCCCCGAATGGTCCTGTGAATGACAAGTCAGTTTCTGTAGTGCCTCATTTCCTGACATTTAAGTGTTTCTTTGGTTTCCAGGGTTCTGTTCTTCTGGCATTTCCTCCCTGAGGCCTCCAGGTTTCTGTTTGAGTTTCTGCTTGTGTTCTGCTCTTTTTTTTTTTCCCTTCACACATTACAGTCACACATCCCATTTGTGGCATGCAGCATGTAGTGTGTGTGGGTGTGGGTGACTCTGGGTCCCTGCCACTGAGTGTGATTCTTTATCCCTTCCCAGATCATGTTTGAGACCTTCAACACTCCAGCCATGTATGTGGCCATCCAGGCCGTGCTGTCCCTGTACGCCTCTGGGCGCACCACTGGCATTGTCATGGACTCTGGTGATGGGGTCACACACACAGTGCCCATCTACGAGGGCTACGCCCTTCCCCACGCCATCTTGCGTCTGGACCACTTCCATGTTCCCCGGAATCGCAGATAGGATGCAGAAGGAGATCACTGCTCTGGCTCCCAGCACGATGAAGATTAAGATCATTGCTCCCCCTGAGCGCAAGTACTCTGTGTGGATCGGTGGCTCCATCCTGGCCTCGCTGTCCACCTTCCAGCAGATGTGGATCAGCAAGCAGGAGTACGATGAGTCTGGCCCCTCCATCGTCCACCGCAAATGCTTCTAGGCGGACTGTTACTTAACTGAGTGAGCTGTTACACCCTTTCTTGACAAAACCTAACTTGCGCAGAAAAAAAATGAGACAACATTGGCATGGCTTTATTTGTTTTTGGTTTTTTTTTTAATTTTTGAAAAAAATTTTGTTCTTTTGTTTTGGCGCTTTTGACTCAGGATTTAAAAACTGGAACGGTGAAGGCGACAGCGGTCGGTTGGAGCAAGCATCCCCAAGTTCTACAATGTGGCTAGGACTTTGATTGTACTTTTTTTTTTTTAATAGTCATTCCAAGTATCCCTGGTTACAGGAAGTCCCTCCCAAAAGCCACCCCCACTCCCAAAAGGAGGATGGCCCAGTCCACACCCTGAGTCTATGCAGGGGAGGCGACAGCATCGCTTTTGTGTAAATTATGTACTGCAAAAATTTTTTTAGATCTTCCGCCTTAATACTTTTTTATTTTTGTTTTTATTTTTGAATGGTCACCCATCTTGGCTCCCCTCTTTTTGTCCCCCCAACTTGATGTATGAAGGCTTTTGGTCTCCTTGGGAGTGGGTTGAGGTGTGAGGCAGCCAGGGCTTGCCTGTACACTGACTTGAGACCAGTTTAATAAAAGTGCACACCTTAAAAAAAAAAAAAATGGGTTTGCAAGACTGTAAGAATTTAACATATGGTATAAGAAAGTGCCTACTACACCTCATCAAAAAAGTATTCAAGGGTCAGCAAGATGGTTTAGTGGGTAAAGGTGCTTGCCTCTGAGTCTGATGACCTGAGTATGCTCCCCAGGGCCCACATGTCAGAAGCAGAAAACTGACTCTCACAAGTTGTCTTCTGACCTCTACTCACTTGCATGAACACACACACACACACACACACACACACAAATAAATGTAATAAAAATATCAAGTATTCATACTTACTCTATACAAGACAGCATACTTTATTTATTTATTGGTTTTGTTCTTTCCATTTAGTATTTTTTGTTTATTTTTTTCAAGATTTCAAGTATATATTGCATGTTGAACACATTCCTCCTCATGCCCGACCCTCCCTTCTTTCAATTCTCCCCTCCCCCAGTGGTCCCTTTGTCCCCTTGTTTTCTAAATTTTTTAATTAATTTTTATAAGTGTTTTGCCTGCATGTATGTAAGTGCACCTGTGTAAGTACACCTGTGCATGCAATGCCTGCAGAGACCAGAAGAGAGCTTCAGAGCCCCTGGAACAGGAGTTATAGACTGTTGTTAACCTGGAACCAAACCCAGGTCCTTGGCAAGCACAACCAGTGGTCTTAACTGCTGAGCCAACTCTCCAGCCCCTAAGGTTTTTGTTTTTGAGACAAAGTCTCACTGAATAATCCAGGCTGCCTTGAATTCACAATTTTCATGCCTCAGTCTTCTGAGTGCTGGGATTACAGGTATATATTACCATGCCCAGCTGAGCATGCACTATATTTTTTAAAGTAGGGTTTTAAAATTTTTTGTTTGTTTGTTTTTATGTGTATGAGTGTTACGCCTGCATGTGAGGGCACCCGTGCTGTGCAGGAACTGCCCGCAGAGGACAGAAGAGAGTGTCAGATCCTCTGGAACTAGAGTTATGGAAGGTTGTAACACCCACCATGTGGGTGCTGGGATTCGACCCAGGTCTCCTGTAACAACAGTCAGTGCTCTTAACCACTGAGCCATCTTTCCAGCCCCTAAAGGGGGGGGTAGTGTAATTAAGACAAAGTCAATCCCTGAATGCAACAGGCTTTCATTGCAATGAAAAAAACCAGGAGATGAATAATATTACATTTTTCCTCTCCTGTTTAGAGGGAAGGCTTTCTGAAGTCATAGCCTTGGGGCTGAAGCTGAAGGATTCGGGAATTCAGTTGGAGGAAGACAATGTTTCTGTGATAGGGACAGTAGTACACAGGCCCTGAGCAGGAAATGATCTCCTCAAGTTTGAGTACTTGAAAGTGTGCCCACATGGCTAACACTCAGGGGATGAGGAAGAAGAGCTAGCTGCCAACAACTGCCAAACACCTGTGAATAAAAGTTCCCACAAAAAAACTTGCATCTTGGACCTAAATTCCTGCAAGGTTGATCAACTGATTAGCACTTCAGTGACTGTGGAGAGTTTGGAATGTGGGAGGTCCAGAGCCTGTTTACAATTTATCTTGGGCTATCTTTAACCCCCTAAATAGATAGCCATTCCTTGTCTGCTTCTGTGTCTGACCTAACATCCTATGGCTAACAAACAAAAACCTTTTGGAATGTATTCAATTACCAGACCACCAGCTTCCACCAACCCAAGGGCTGAGAAGCCTGTCAGGTGACCTCTAAGGCAGAACTCACTCTGCCTTTGCTATGACCCACCTCCCTGATGTTGCCACCAATGTATTTGAAAAATGTCTTGTTTTACAGCTTTCTTTGTTCTGCTACTATAAAAACATCATTAAACTATTGAAACATGGAATTTGAGGTAACCTGAATCTGTGTCCCTGGGCCATGGTCACTCATATTTGGCTCCAGAATAAACTGTCTCATATCCCCTTTGAGGTGAGAGTTACACTTTTGTATAGACAACATGAAATAATCTGCCTGGCTCTTCCCATCCCTACAGTCCCATATTATCTCTCCACAAGCCCTTTCTTGGTCTTCCTGCTTGCATCCATTCATCCATCTGCCAGGAAATCACCACAGAGACTTTTGAAAGAGGAAACCAGGCTCAGTTCACCTTCCACTACTAATGTCCACTGCTGTTTGGTATTTCTGGGAGATTTTCTCATGTCCCTTCACGGTGGAGTCCTTTCATCCCTGACAGGTAAAGGAAGTGACCCACTCTCAGCTTTTGGCTCCAAGGGATCCCCAACACAGTAGAGAAAAGACTAAGAGTCCAAGCTTCCTGATGACCCACGTCATAGGCCTAGACCAAGGACCAGGGAAGAGTGCAGGGAAACTAGATGGACTAGAATGTCTCTCTCAGGAGCTTGAAATAATGACTTCATTAAGAATAGCCATCTATGAAAAAGCACAAGTTTCACCTCAAAGCAGATAAGAACTAGTTTATTCTGGAGCCAAATGTGAGTGACCATAGCCTCGAGAACACAGATTGAGATTACCCCCAAATTCCATGTTCCGATATGGTAACAGTTTTATGAAGTTTTTATGTAACAGAACAAAGAAAAGTCATGAATCAAGACACTTCTCAAATACATTGGTGGAAACATTAAGTAGGCAGTTACAGCACAACAGAAATTGCAGCTATAGGCCTCAGGTGCTGTCTGATGACACTCAGCCTTTTGGTTCATGGAAAGTAGGGCTTTGTTAAGTTACTACGTTACAAAAGCATTTTATTTGTTAGTCAGAGGATGTTAAGTCAGAAACAGAGGTGGGCAAAGAGTGGCTAATTAGGGGACTAAAGATAGCCCAAGATAAATTGTAATTAGGCTTTGGACCTACAACATTCCAAACTCTCCACAGTCACCAAAGGGAATCAGTTGATCAGTCTTTGCAGAAGGTTCAGTTCAAGATGCAGGTTTTTTTATGGGAACTTTCATTCACAGTGCCCATGGCATCAAGTCAGGGTTATGACAAGACCAAGCCACATGAAGTTTGATGTCAGGAGGGAAAAAATGTTCCAAGGTAGCCAGAGGAAGAGGTGGTGGTGGTGTGTGTGGC